TCGCAGCTATAATGTGCTCACCATAAAGTCAGCTAGATAAACAAGATATGAACGCAAAAGTCGTTGTTGCTTAACGTTCTTAAATTGGCCAAGTTTCAGATATCGTATCTTATCAATGTGCTGTCCATGTGTGTGTCTGTGTGCCATTAAGGCAATTGCTGTGGCCAAAATTGACCTTGTTACGAAAAGTCGTCTTGGCCATATTTTCAGAGCTAGCCGTTCGCCGTTTCCCGTTCGCCTTCCAATTGGCAATTGCTTTGGGGCGTTCTCCGCTTTCATTTATCATCATATTTCTTGCATTTACCGCACATTTCACCAACTGCTGACCGTTTTTGCTTCTTCTTCTTCATTTTTTTGGTGTCACTTCTGTACTTGTTGTTGTTGTTCTTGTTGCTGCTGCTGCTGCTACTGTTGGCCCAGTTTTGGCAACTGCCAGAAACCATTTCTCATTTCTCATTTCTCTCTGGCGCGCAAATTCAAACAAATGCATTTTACAGCTCTCTCGGCCAACTTTGGCTGTAACCAAACTGCAACACTGTGTGCGTGTGTGTGTGTGTATCATATCTGTGGCCAAAGAAAGCCGTTGCCCGTTTGCCATTCGCTCTTGGCACTTGGCTTTCACTTGAAATCACGTTTGAGCGCCCAGCTGCCTGCCTCTGTCTACCCTCTCTCTCTCTCTGTGTGTGTACGTGTGCTGAAAATGCTTTTCCAAACAATACACCTTACCCCTTACTAGCCAACCAGCTACGCCACGCCACGCCACGCCCATTCTGTTGGCTTCTACGCCTCATATTCGGTTAGGTATGAACTTTATTGCAGCACATGCCATTACACAGATGCTGTAAATATTTTTTCGTAGCGGTCATAAGTACGCAGAGTATCTGAGAGATACGTACACACACACACACACACACATAAATGCTTTTATTTTATTTTATTATTCCTTGCAATTCTTCTGCTCATCATAAATTCCATTTGAAGTTGTTTTTTTTTTTTTTTTGCTTTCTTTTGGCTTTTGTCCGCTCAACATTTTTTATCAACAAAAATTAAAAACTTTTCCTTTGCCTTATGAATTTTTATCATATGCATTGCCACGCCCACGGCAACGGCCACGGCCACGCCCATGACCATGATTTTTATTTTTTATATTTATTTCATATTTGATTTGAAATTCATTTTCATTTAAAACAAAACTTGTTTAATTTCGCTTCATTAAACAAAGAAAGTCCATGCGCCAAGATAGAGCCAGAGAGCGAAAGAGATAGACTGAGAGAGAGGGAGAGGGAGTAAGCAAGAAGTACCATAAATATGTATTATTTATTATTGTTTTCAATTCAGATCTAATCAATTCGATTCACTCATTTGCATAACAACTTCACACACATGTTCCAGCTGCAGTTCACGATCTTAACTTTATTTATTCAAATCATACAGTTATTACGCGTTCGAGCGGCTTTAACGGGGGAAGGCAGCGCAATACAGGTTAAGTGATTTCTAATACTAGAAACTATCTATAAGGAAACAGATCTGTTCGATTATAATATTATACGGTTCGAGTCGAAGGAAGAAGCTTGAGAGAGCTGATTTATTAACGTAATTAAATGAATTATTCATAGGTTAATATATATAATATATATCATATTAATATTTATACAGATATCTATCGAATATAATATATATTTTGGAGAACAGCGGAATAAGTACTGGTTAGACAAGCCATAAAGGCATTAAAACTCTATTTAGTTCATACAAACATGAATAAAAACAAAAATTATATTTTATTTTATATTTTGAATTTAAAAATAATTTAAACATTTTCCCATATATCCAATTCGTGTGCAAAAACCTTAACGCAACAAACAAAAAATGTTTAAAGTGAATAAATAATGATCTGAAAAATGTTCGAGACGCTTCGAATGGCTACCTAAATTTGCTAGATTAAACTATGATTAATATTCATTTATGCCATTGCATAAACTTTGTAAATTGCGATTCGACAAAATAAACAATCAGAAGCCAAGCAAAACAACAATATTCCGACGATATTTCGAGAATTGAATCTTCAGACAACACAATAATTGTAAAAGAAAGATAATATGTAAAAATAATATAAAAAAAAAAAATAAAATTGTAAAAAAATAGAAAACAAATATCAATAATTAGAAATTTAAATTCAATAAGCGCCAAAGCCAGGTATAATAATTTAGAAGCCAACACACAGTTAAATGGATGAAAGCTCATAAATAATGCCGCAGAATAAATAATAATTAAATGCAAACTTATGCCCATTCCACTTACATATATACAAGCATACATACATACATATGTACGTATGTGTGTATGTTTTGCATAGATTACGGCGTAGGTAGCAACTGAGACTGTGGCGCAAATCAAGTGAAAATGGTAGAATGTGAAAAAAGCTGCCAGCTAAAAGCAAATAACAAAATGGGCAACAGTTGCTAAAAATGAAACGCATGCAATAAGAAAGAACAACAACAAGAGCAGCAGACCAAGAACAACAATAACAACTACAACGACCAACTGTAAATACATAGCTCGTGTTGCCAACTTCCTCTGCCATCATACACCAAACGCAGACGGCAACACAGCGCACATTTAACACGATTGGCAACGCTGTGCGGCTTTTTTTTTCGCTCTCTTCGCTTTGCACACAAAACCCGTTTTCAAAGCTGACGCACTTCACAGTTGTCTGTGAAGGCAACTACAACAACAACAATAGCAACAACAACTGAAACAGCAGCCAAAGTGATAACAACAACAATAAGAAGCAGGCCCATTTGACCGAAAAAACTAGCAGCAGCAGCAGCAGCCACGAAATAGACAATTTTTGAGGTTAACATTTCGATCGTTTTTTTTTTTCGCTTTTGCTCTCTTGCAAAAACGAAAAACAAAACAACTGTTTGCCTATCGCTTGCTCGCTCGCACCTATTCGTTTGAAGGGCTGCTTGAGTGTTGTCTGAGCGCATTCGGTTTGCCATTTTTTGTTTTTTTCTCGTCTTTTCTGCACTATAAAATCGATGGTGCAATCGTGTCGACTCACGCTTCTTTTTTGCACTCTTTGCATTGCTTTGCGTTTGCTTTTGGCTTTGCTTTTGCTTTCTAACTATATTTTTAGCACTCGAATGTAAACAAAACGCGTCGCCATTTTGGATTGGGCATGTGGCACAGTGTGTACACATGGCGTATACGCGCACACACACTCGCACTCCCACACACACACAACTTTAACGTCTTTACCGGCTTCAGTGGCTGCTTTATGACAAAATTGACCTTAGCTTCGGTGATTAAGATGCAAAAAAAAAAAAAAGGCAACATCCGAAAGATATGTGCAATGCTAATGAGCGCTAATAAGATACACGCCAAAACACACATTTGCACACACACATACACAGTCACAGTAAACAGAGGCTGTAGCTGCTTTTTACGTGCGGCTCACTTAGTGGAACAGCACTCGTGAGCATATTGATGATAATCTTTTTAAATATTGATCAGTTGCTTAAGATTTGCATATAGAGTTTACTTTATTGATTATTAACATGCACGAGCTGCCTGACAACTCGCACTGGACCTAAATATAGTCCAAATGGTGGGAGCAATTGACATATAACTAGGCTAAATGGAATCACCTTGAGACAGATGAGCGATGAGCGAATGTCAAATAGCAATTTCTCAGCCCAGTCATAAGGAACTTGACTACGTTACCAAATGAGAATTGTACTATAAATAAATTGCAGCTATAATTGGAATTATATCTGTGAAGTTGACTCTGCGAGCTCAGAAGTGTTTGATTATGTGAATACTCTGTGTCTCTATACATTAGTCAGATGTTACAAATATAAATATTGGAAATGTTTGACTAGAAGATGCCCGTAAAGAGCTACGATTTTCATCGTTTATTGAGCTATTAATTATTAATAATTATTATATATAAAAAATAATTAATTTAGCATTTGATATCATTTTATAGAATCCGCTTAGCGACCTCTACGAATGTCGTTAAGCATTTAACAGTAAAAGGCGAACTCAAAACGGTAAAAATAATTAAGTTAAATTGCAGCTATTGTTCATATCGCTCATATTGTTCGAGTGTTATTTGCATTATGGCAGGTCGTGTCGTCTGTTGGCTCTGATTTGTTTATTTATTTTTACAGCTGCTTTGCAATTACGAGCCAAACGTAATTTTCTCGTTTTTTTTTTTATCATTTTTTGAATTAGAATCGAAGGGCTTTTGTGTGTTTTTGTTGTTTTTCTATACACACATTAATCTTATACATATGTAGAGCTTTGAGGTGCGGCCAGATTAGATAGGCAAACAAAAAACTATAGTTGAATTTCCTAGGTCTCATGGACTTCTAATTGCCAATGTGACTATAATTATCAATTATTAATTATAGCCACGGCAATCAATCAAGAAATTACAATTTGCTGATATGATTGTTACGTGAAATGGAGCACAATGCAAAAGCTTAATGAGTATATGAAAAATAAATAAAAATAATTATAATGATCATTATAATTACAATTTTATTAACATATCTCTTATGCTTATTTGCAATACAAAAAGTATGGACACCCTGTTTAGAAATAAATATATATTTTACCCTTTAAATAGTATGTAAACACATTATAAGTATCTAAACGGTAAATGGTATAGTATACAAAAATACCTAGAATTTCTAAGTAAGAAGATTCAAACTAATAATTGTAGTACTTCAGCACTTACCAATTAACATATACATGGATTTCAACACAATTCCCTTTAAATCTTTTTGTTTACATACGAGGATTTTACGAAAATCTCCACAATACAAACACTAGTTTTTAGGAAACAATATACAAGTAAACAAATGTTCGCTTCTGCTAAAACTATAAATTTTAGTATGCTCTAACTTAATGTGCTGTTTCCGACTTATTAAAATAAAAATTTTAAAACTGGTTCAATCTCATCATCATTGCATTCCACTTAATAAGATGCACACATTAATCGTTTCTGAAATATTTTCGCATATTAAACACAAATATTTTAAGTATCGAAAATTTTCGCAATGAATCATCAAAAGAAACATCTCGGGCCCCACAAACACTTAAGCAAGCTGATTGGGGGCTTTTCAGTCAATGCGTTATTCTTATAATTGATTTTCTATATTTAAAGGAATCGAACGAGCAACAATTTTATTGAGAAATACCTTGAGGAGGTCATCTTTGTGGATGATGTGGCATACACAAAACACGGAATACGGAAATATAAAAATAAATACTTGTGCACACACTTATACGTATTTATAATACACAAATATAAATGTTAATGCATTTAGTATAAACAAAATCGCAAAATCACTAAGAGAAATGTGCAAAATGAGCGATATTTAATCAGTAAACAATTTACAATTATTTTGTTTGAATTCTATTTTAATACATTTTTTTCCTTTTTTTTTTTTTTTTTTAATAGAGCAGCTGGCGCCAAGTAGCTATATATAGGTCTGGAAGAGGGGGATTTGAACTGTTGAGGTGTTTGAGCAGGAGGGGAATTTTTCAACTGGTCGCGCGGGTTCATGTGTAATTGCACTTTGAGTGACTTTTAAAAACATCAAGAGCGTCACATATATAATTAACAAGGCAGCTATCTATAAATATAGAGTGTTGTAGATTATCTAGGCAACTGAGATGAGCGCGTGTTGAGCACGAACGAACGTTTTACAAATTTAACTGATTTTTAATTAGATATTAAAAATAAATTTATTATATGTTTATTATTTTCGTGATTTCTTATTAACAATACATTTTTAATATGGTACAATCTGTTTTCTTCAATTTTTTTTCTGTTTTTCCTATTTGTTATATATATTATAATAATTTTCGTTACACAAAGTCGTGTGGGTGTTTTCTATCTCGAAGAAAACACGAGTTAAGCACAGCACTAGTTCACACACACTTACATCTATGCATTCTGTAGACACCACTCGCACTCACACTCTCACACACACCTAAAGCAATTCAAATTCAATGTCAACAACTGAGCTGAACAACAACAGCTGGACTTCAAGCAATGCACCAAATTTGAAGCTATTAATGGACGTATGTTTGTTTGGCTATAGCTTAAATAAAAAACGCAATTTATGCAGCTGATTCAGCAGTTTTCAATTTGTTTGATTAATGCACAGATATAATTATTATAATTTTTTAATGCGAATTTTGCGCTAAATTAAGTCAGCGCGCGCTTGATTCGCGATCTGGCAACACTACCAAGAGCGTCAGAGAATTGAGCAGCGGCAAGGTAAGCGGTTGTTGTTATTGTTTTGCTGGTTGTTTTACGACTTTTTTATTTTGCTACTTTAACCATAATGGAAATGTATTATTGTTTAAAACTTGTACTTCGTGTTGTTGTGCACTTTAGTTTACACTTGACTTGTTTTTGTTTGTGCACATTCTTGAAACTGAAATTGTATAATTTTGTTTTTTTCCAATCTGTTTATTTGGCGCGCTGCTGCTAAAAAACTTAACGGGTACAAATGCAAAGTCAATTAACAGCCTTTATTTAAACACCATGACGCCAGTCGCACTCATAATTTACCTCGCTTATTATATATTTATATTTTAACTAAAAGAAAAAACTCAAAAAATAAATAGCGCAAAAACGTGCTAAATAAACTCGCAACAAAACAGCACGAAGCAAGGCGCACAGCTGACGCCTGTTTGTGAGAGCCAGTCGGAGTCGCTCTCCCAGTCACGCTCACTAGTGATGAGCGAGCTGACCAATCTGCCAACGAATGAATATTATGCGTGTTTTATTAACAAAATTTTGGGACTATAATTATTTATTAATAATTATGATCGTATTATATGGCGACTTGCTTAGCTCCATCAAAGTAATTATATTTTATAACAACAGCTTCGAGTTTATTGTAGGTAACATTTGAGGACGACTGCAGCTATGTTAAAATATCGCTCATCTCTAGCTAGCTCTCTCGCGCTCAGCAAGTGGCACCAGCTGAGACTTTGCGTTTGTCTTCGTCGGCCATTGAGACAAAATAAAACAAAACAAATACAAAAAGAGAAAAACAGAAAACAAAACACAAAATCAAACAACAAAAGTTTTGCAAGCGCAACGACTGTAAAAAAAACTGGCAACTGATTCGCTGATGACGACATTTACCTATTTTCTTGTTGTATTTCTTTTTAACAGACTTCGCTTTAAAATACAAAATTTATAAACTTACATTTCTCCTTGTCGCTGGTGCAGCTGCTCCACTTAGCACTTCAACAAGAAAACAAAACACAAACTCACAACGCAAACGAAGAGAAAGAAAAAGAGAAGGCGACGCTGGCAAAATTAACTTTTCACTCTTTCTCTTTTCGAGCTATTTTTCTTTGCTCACAGTTGGGCTGTTTGCTTTTGTTGCACTTTCACCGCAACGGGTTGCGTTTTCCACAATTTTCACGTGTTTTCTCCACTTGAGATTTGTAAGTGAGCTCTTTATGAAAATTTTACATGATTATTTGCTGGGTTAAGCAATATTTTTAAGCACACACACACACGCGAGCCTACATAAAGACTACAAACACGTACACAAACATACGCACACACATACACAAACGAACACACACACGCAGGCAAACAGCACTCAAGTACGTGCTATTGCTGCTGCTGCTGCTGCTCTTGTGCTTCTTTTTGCTTCTGCTTCTTTTGCTTTTGCCTATTTACTTTGTTTTGGCACCAATTCATTCATGTACTTAAATTACGCGCCGGACTCCGATATTTTCAAGCTTTGCTTTCTTTTAATGCGAATGCGAATGTTGCACTTTCTTGTGTGCGCAAAAAACAATGCGAAAGATTATTTATTTTATATGTTATTTTGGAAACAAACGCTGTGGTCGTAGCCGCGACTTGCTCGCCCGCTCTTCCAATTGGAACTGAGCGCAGCCACTTGATTTGGAGTGAGCGACGGCGACGGCGCAGTATTAAATTAGCTGTGAACACTCAGCAGTGTTGTCCGCTCGATTGTTTTCACGCTAAATATAGCTATTTGCAGAGTCTATCTAACTACAAGTGTTCGTGCAGTTAAGTGCTTTTAGCAAAACGCATGCCCAATATATTATAGATGTTATAAGATATTGCAAACGTTGAGATATTGTACTGCACTTAGCACGAAAGTTACGTTACTTCAGCTCAAAAAGTCGCGGACTTCGTCTTTTAGCTTGTGAAGCGCGAGCAGCACTGAGGGCGACATTGTGGGATGAGAGTGTATAAGTGCACTCTCGGGCTCTCGTAGTCGTATAAATACTCGATTTTTGGTCCAAAAAAATCATGCAATATTGGGCAAATGCTTTAACAGCCTTGTATGACAACTTTCAATGATTAACATTTTTTTTTTATTAAATAATAATGCAGTATATAAAAATGCATAGTCATATGAAGCTATCGATAAACGCGGCACAGATGTCGTTCAACATCAGCAACGGTTGTGCAACTGTTGGACTGACATTAGCCTTGGCTGTTGCCTACTTTTAGGCTGACCTTGTAAACGGTCCAGCCAAAAAACGAAAAGCCTTTAAGAGATGCCCTGAAGAAAAAGGAACGTAATTAGAAATATAAAATATTCAAGTAGTATAATATTTAAACAACTGCTTTTGATCTTGTTAAAGGCCTTACGCTTGCAGGCTCCATTTAATTAGCTTCATTAAGACTTTACGAGTTTTACAATCAAATCCATTAAAGCTCGTTAAATTCGCTGGACTGAAAATTCTCAGATATGAGCGGAAAAGTTAATCCCTTTAGCTTTTTAACTGCTTTCAAAGCGAATTGAGAGTCCTTCACCGAAAATTCACATTTAAATAAATATTAACAAGCGTTGAATTTAATTACGACGACAAGAAACGGTCGGCCGAAGTAAGTTCTACGGGTAAAAAAAAGGGTCCTTCAGAGCCGGTACCCTTTTCCAGCTAAATGAGTAAACAGTGCGAAATGAAAATCACAGCAACGATATCTTCATTCGAGCAGTTGCTTCCCTGAAGTCCTTTGCAATAAATTGCTGCAATAAAATTGAAAGCAAAGACGACAAACGCGACAGCTCGCAAATGTTTCTTTTTGTTGCTGTCAAGTTTCATTTGTTGCGTTCCGCTGATTACCAAAGCCACCTACCGCTACACCCGCCCACCACCCACCTGGCCCTCAAGAAAATGCGCGTGGTCCTGCCAAGCGATAAAGTCAAGTTGGAAATAATAGCAGCAACAGTTTTAACAAGAACAACAACAGCAACAACAACAGCAGCAGCAGCAGCAGCAGCAGCAGCAGTCGTAACAGCAGCAGCATCGGCAGCATCAGCAGTTGATGCTGGACCACCAGCTCCTGTTTTTGATGATGATGACAGCAGCACAACTTGCAGCGATAATGATGCCTCCCATCATCTAGCCAGCACAGTGGGCTAAGGCTGATTGTGGCCTGCCCTAATTTTAAATATGCAAATGGAAATTATACTCTAAATTATGATTAGGCAATTTATGGAAATGATTTCGTTAATATATAGGAAAACTAAGCTGGAAATCAGGCACAAAAAAGGAATATATTATAATATATTATAAATGAAGTTCTAATACAAAGCTGAGATAACTGAATTGGAATTAATTTGAATGAGAAAGTTCAACTGTTTTCTGGATCGTATACGTGGAACTTGTGTAAGGAACTGTTCTGTGAAACGTACACCTGAATCTTTTCTATGGAACTCTATTTGGAATTTGATAATATCACGATTATTAATTTTTGACTATTGAATATAAAATATTATATGCAGTTAATTAAAACACATTTGATGTATTTATTGCAATCCAATCGATATGGAGCCACTGTAGATGGTTCATTATAGAAGAAAAAGTGTTGCCGAGTTATAATGAGAGCGCAGCTTGAACAGAAATTTACGACAAGCGCCGCGTTAAGTGACAGCCGGGTATAGCAGGCGAGGCAGGTTTACGAGATGGGCGGGCGAGATGCGGGTT